CACCCTGAGATGGGGTAAGGAGGGTTTGGGGTAGAGCCCCGTGTCAGAGAAAGCAGGGCCCTTCTGGAGAACTTCACAAAGTCAAGACTGAAGCCAGAGGTCTGGGCCCCTCACCTTCCTTCCCTTTCCAGAGCCATCCTCTCAGCCCTCCATCCCCATCCGGGGAATCATTGCTGGTGTGGTTGTCCTTGTGGTCATTGTGGTGGTTGGAGCTGTGATCTGGAGGAAGAAGTGCTCAGGTAGGAACAGAATGGGGGGATCTGAGTTCACTTGTCCCGCTGGGGGGCTTCCTAGGTAACACATTGTCCTGCCTGGTTCCTGGGAAGTTCCATCCACACACATGTAGCTGCCCACTCTGGAGCTGTTACTAACAATCACTCTGTAGCAAAGCACTTGTGAAAATGAAGGACAGATTTTCACTTGGTAATTCTGGTGATGGGGACCTGATTCCCAGCAGTGACAGGACAGAGAGGAAGGTCCCTGCTCCAGACAGACCTCCAGCAAGTGGTTGTCCTGTGACCCCCCCCCCCCACCCACCCCCTCACACACACCTCTTTCTTCATGTATCCAATCTTGTCCTGCGTCTTCAGTCAGAATTCTGGAAACTTCATTGTGAACTAGAATTAGGAGGTTGCTCTAGGATCCCATGGCCCACCTGTCCCAGGTGTCTAACATGCTATTTTCTTCCACAGGAGGAGAAGGACCAAGCTAGTCTCACGCTGCACGTAAGTATGGAGGGGGTGATCCCTGAAACTTGGGATAGTGTAGACAGGACCCCATGGGGATTTCACCCCCGCCCATAGCTGCTCCTTTAGTCTCAGCTCCTGTGGCTCTGATCTCATCTTGTTTGTTCTACCCCAGGCGATGACAGTACCCAGGGCTCTGATTCGTCTCTAATGGCTCCTAAAGGTAAGACTCCGGAGGGCCTGAAGTGGGGAGGGGTGGGGGCACTAGGGACATGTTGACATGTGGGGGGCTGTTGAGAATGTGGCACTTATGTGGCTGATCTAAATGTGTTCATGATTAATTTTTTCACAGTGTGAGACCCACTGCCCCTCAGGGACTGAGCGATACAGGATCTGTTCACACTCCACTTGGTGCCATCGAGGTCCCCTGACTTCCTGCAGATGGTGTCAGAATGTGTCTGCATTCCTATTAGCATATTGTGAGGACACAGGACACTGCCCCCCCCCCCGCCCTTTATGACCCCTCCCGTACTGATTCGTGTTCCCTTTCTGACCTGCTTTCCTGTTCCAGCAGAATCAGTGCTGGACCGTCTCCATCCCCGTCTTTTTTTCATGTTGGACCGAGTACTGACGCCTTACTTCCCTACTGACAATGAGAATCCAGATATGAATTTGTGTTTTGTAATTCTTGGCATGTAGGGATGATGAGGTAATAAAAGAGAAGATTTGTAAAATTGCAAGAGAAAATAAATGAAAGCCCTGAGAACCTCCCAGAACCCGCTGTTTCCTGTGCCGTGTCTGTTGCAGGTGGCGACAGGAGAGGGCTGGAGGAGCCGAGCGGGGATGGGGCCTGGGTCCAGTCGGTGCTCAGTGCATCCTTGGAGTGTCGTGCTCCCTCCTCAGCTGGGTCATGTCTCTGCTCCATGTCCTTGTCCCTTCTGTGGAACCTTGTCTCACCAGGACCGTGACCACAGGGATGTGGACATCACCTGTCACCAGGACCTTGTAGAGCAAGAGCTTCCTGTGACTGGGTCAGCAAGCTCCATCCTGGTTTGTGACCGTAGGCCCATCTTTTGGGTGTTTTTTTTTTCCCTTGTTTCTGTGGAGCATCAGGCCTGTTCTTGCTCGTGTGTCCGAGTTTCTGTCTCCTTCTCCCCAGATGACCCCAGTGGTTACAGCACCAGGAGTCCTTTGGGCTGTTGTTCTGCAAGCCTAGGTGGGCCCTGCACACAGGAGTCTCTGTGGTTTGGTGACATGAATTTTCAGATTCATCCATCTCCTCCCTCTAGAGCTGTCTTCTGGATTATTCTTTACATCCTGAGGTAGACAGAGAGGAATCTGGGAGTTTCTCATCCTTGTTCAACTTCAGTTAGTTTCTACCTTCCCTGTCTCTCTGTCCCCTCTCCCTGCCCTTAGTTTAGTGATGCTGGTGCTGGCTCCCATCCATGTTCATGGATTTATAAAGCAGGGTCTAATGTAGATTTGTGTGGTTGGAGAAAGGACCCCATAGAGGCTGAGTATAGTGATTCTGAAGACAAGACTGTAACTGTGTGCTGTGCTGTGCTGTGCAGGGGAAACGCTGTGGGAGGGGGGAGCTGAGCAGAGAGAGGGAGGGGCAGCCGTGGGGTAAGTAGAGGCAGCACTGATGGTGAGGTGGGGGCACTTTGTGCGGGAGCTGCCACGGACTGGCTGTGTCTGAGGCTCATCCAGAAGACAGAGGTCCTCTCCACTGACCAATTGTTCCACTGATAATGTCGTGTGCCACGTGCAGGACCTGCTATTTTTTTCATCTAGGACACATCAGTAAGTAAGAAGAAGCAAACGTGCTGGTCTTGTGGAGAATATGTCCTAGGGGTGAGGGACAGACTCCACTTGACCCTGGAACAATGTGGGGACTGAGGGCAATGACCCCACTGAGCAGTCAGAAATCCAAGTATAACTTTTGACTCCCCTGAAACTTAAATATTACCACTAATAACATAGTGTTGATAAGAAGCCTTACTGAAAACATGAACAGTCATTTAACACATATTTTGTACATTATATGTATATGTAACATGTATTCTTACAATAAAATAGGCTGGGGAAAATAGTAAGAAAGCGTAAGAGAAAGTGCATTGACAGCACTTTTGTAAAAAGGTCCACATATCGGTGGATGTGCACAGTTCGCACCAGTGTAATTCAGAGTCAAGTGTATATTGTATAAATGTGGTAAATAAGGAAAGTATTTAAATTGGAAATTGGTTGGGCGCCTGGGTGGCTCAGTCGGTTAAGCATCCGACTTTGGCTCAGGTCATGATCTCATGGTTCGTGGGTTCGAGCCCCGCATCGGGCTCTGTGCTGACAGCTCAGACCCTGGAACCTGTTTCAGATTCTGTGTCTCCCTCTCTCTCTGCCCCTCCCCCACCTGCACTCTGTATCCCTCGTCTCAAATATAATCATTAAAAAAATACAAAAATAAATTGAAAATTGATAGGTGCTTTGAGGAAGGTGATCCAGAGAGTTACTTGTGCGGGGACAGGGAAGGTGGCTACTTTTCTACGGTGGTAAGTGTGAGCCTCACTGGGAAGGTGACCTCTGAGAGATGTGCAGGACACAAGGAATTGTTGAAGAGCATGTCTCAGGGAGTTCTTTCCAGGCAGGGGAACCTCCAGGCACACGCACTAGGGCAGGAGCGTGTCCTTGGCCACTGTGGCTGAAGCAGAGAGCATGTGAAATGCGGTCAGATGTCTAGACTTTAGGATTAGAAGGCTTTTGAGTTTTCTCTGAGTGACATGTGGAGTCACTAGATGGTGTAGAACAGATGGTCCACCTGGGACTACTTCTCTTTAGAAGCATCTGTTTGCTGCTGTGCAGAATCGAGAGGTGAAGTGTGGGAGACCAGTATGGAAACTGTAGGAAACCAGTGTAGTTTCCAGGAGGGTGGATGTTGGATTTATTTTGGGGTTTGAAGAGAGAAAATAACAGGAAGTGGCTGTAGTCTGGTTAGTGTGTGTGTGTGTGTGTGTGTGTGTGTGTGTGTATGTTCTGGATACATTTAAAGATGAACTTTGCAGTATGTCCTAATGTATTATTTCTGGGTTGTGAGAAGGAGGAATCAAGGACAGCATCCAATACTTCAGACTGCAAGAAGAAAGGGGGGGTGTCTTCCAATGAGACAGGGAAGATTTTGGAAGTAGGACATTTGGGGAAGCTGCATCATAGGCACCCAATTTAGGAATGTCGAATCTGAGATTATTAGAAATGCAAGCGAAGTTCCATCTGGATATAGAGTACAGGGTGGGAGAAATATCTAGGTTGGAGGAATAGATATGGAGGTGACCCCATATAAATGATGCTTAGAGCCTTCAGCATTTGAGGTCACCAAGGGGTTGATGGCTATAGAAGAGAAAGGAACAGGACCAAACCCTGGACTCCTCAGTGCTAAGCAAGCTGATCAGAGTACACGCACATACTGAACAGTTCTGGTTCTACACTTAGAAGGCACATAGACCAGGGAGACCTGACCTTCATTGTCCACTGGAATTTCCTGGACTTAGGAAGAGCTACACAGTCTGCAATAGAGCATGAGATTCTGGGTTTATAACAAGGTTGGTGCTGCTGGTGGTCTTCAGATCACACACCGAGGAACAAGCACATAAAACAGGATTCCCACATGGCTGTGCCTCAGCCTTTCCTGTGGGGCCTATTAAATAAGTGATTCCTGACCCTTCACCTCCCTGACACACGCACACACTCTAAGATGGTAGGTCGAGGGGGACGCCTGAGTATTTTGTAACAAAGCCACAAGCAATCCTGGGATTCCACCAGGATCACTGAAATCATTGATGAGAGCCCTCCTTGTGGGAAGGAGTCTTACATCCATATTTAAATGGGTGTTTTTTAGGAAGACAAATGCAAGATATGCTGGAAGAAACAGTTTCTCTCCCATGGGGCACGTCAGATGGCAGACAGAGGAAGTGGTTATCAGCTCAACATAAAATGTCTGAGATACTAAGTGTAGATCTTAAATGTTTGCACCACACACACACACACACACACACACACAAGTTACTGAGACATGATGCAGGTGTAGCTGACTCTATGGTGGTAATCGTTTTGCAGTATACAAATGTATCCAATCAAAACGTTGTGCTCTTAAACTTATAAAATGTTATATGTCAAATCTAACTCCATGAAAATGGAAAAAAGTACTGAATCCTTGCTCTCTACAAGGGATAGATTGTAGATAGATTCTCACTCTTTGTTTTAAACAACAGAGTCCAAGTTGTTTTAACTGAAACAATATATATTTACTATAATATTTACATATTTGTTATATACATATATGTATATATATAGTCAGGGAGATGTATAATATCCATTTTAAATGTGTAATATAAAATATAAATTATATTTAATAAATGCTAAAATGTCTTTTAAGATAAATATAAGAAGTATAAAGCAAAGTATATTTATACTTTATGAGTATATATATTTATAGGTAAATGTATATCATGTATATGTTTACTTAGAGTATTACGCGTCATTTATTTCAGCCAAGGCTACAGAAAGTCCTGAGGCCAACAGCCAGGAGGAAAGTCCATAGACCCACCCTAGGTCAAGGCCCAAATAGGAACCACTGTCCGTGGTGCTGGTCACAGATGCCACTGTTCACACCACTGGTCCATGAGGCAAGGACTGCTATGGCTACTGCCCCTGGCAGGTGGATGACAGGACTGCCACTCACATCGCCTGTGCCAAATGCATCAGCACTGTCCCAGCTTCCCTGTCTCCACATCCTGAGTCAGAGTCTGGTATGTGGTCACCTGGCTGGTGGAGTCTTAGGCTGTGTCCAGCTGCAACAACGTTGGCATCATGATTTTGCTCTGGATTCCCAGGGAGTGATCACCAACTTTGTTGCACTTGAACTCCTCATTTATGCTAGTCTCTGCATTCCTGGCCATAGCCTTGTGAGAGGCCATGCATTCAGGTGTTTCCCAAAGTCACCCCTGTTGTAGGCAGACTCTAAGATGACTCCAAAGTACCCATCCTCTTGTATTCATGCCTTTGAGTGACAGCCACTGTGGAACAGAAGCTGGTTATAGTGACTTGCTGGTAACAAATAGAATAGGGTGAAGTCATACAAAGTATATCTGGGAACACCAAGCACAAGACATGAGGAATCTGGAGTCAAGTGTTCCCAGGTGGGCCATCAAGCCAGGCTGGGGAAGTAGGGGTTTCTGAGGGAAACAATGACAAATGACCCTGCATTCCTTTCCCTTCTGTGGGGTTCTTCTATAGACCTCAACCTGCACAGCCACTGCCATCAGATGGCATGAGGAGGAGGAAAAAGGTCACCAGCAGTGATGGTCATCATGGCTGGAAGGACAGGTGAACTCTGTAAACAGGACAAGAAGAGAAGGGAAGAAACAACGTCTCCCAAAGGTAACATCTCGGGAGCCAAACACGCCCCCAGGGCAGCCCCATGACCAGAAAATGAAAAGGAGAATAGTCTCTAGTCTTCCTGTGATGCCCCTGTGGCCCAGGTCTCCCTTCCTCCAACCCAGGACACTGTCCCAGGGAGCCCACACTGGTGCACCCTGTGTACATATCTCTGCTCATCTCCAGAACAGACCACCATGGCCACCCACTCTTGGAAGTCCTCCTCCCTCTGTATGTATTAGTTCCGTCGTGTGCAGCAGAAATCCAGCTCCAGTGGGATGAATGGGACACAGCTTCTATGTGTCTCCCATGAGTGAGTCAAGCCATCCAGGGCTGTGAGGGTATCTCTGCCCCACAAGGCTGTCCAGGCATGCAGCTTCCTGTGACCTGGGAAGTTGCCCTTAGTAGCATGAGCCAGAGTACCTAAGACCATGTCCATGGTCCATGTGCCATGTAGAGAAAGCAGAAAAAGAGGAAGCTTCCCCCCTCTCAGGGCAACACCTACTACTTCATTCTGCTTCACCATAATGGCTGGAATGTAGTCACACAGACACACATAGCCTCATGGGAGGCTGGTGCATGAATCTGGTTTGAATCTGAGTGACTCTGTGCTCCCATGACTCTATCACTATGGAATAAGGATGATTTTTGCTCTACTTAAATTTTTAAAAATGGATAGGATGGAGGAGGAAATTTACTGTTCACTCTGTACTCCCTTATGTTATACAAAGTTTTTATATCTTGTGCATGTCTCAGTCAGTTGACATGAATTTTGAATTAGCAAGAAAGCCTGCCTCCATTTAGCAGACACATATTAGGCAGTAGTAGAGGGTCAGCTCTCCACTAGGCCACAGTTACAGAAATAAAAAGGAATTCACAGTGAGGTGAATAACCTGGTAAATGCAATGAGTATAATGAGTTCTGGGAAGCACCCTCCAGGCAGAAGCTTGTTGAGTGCCTACTGTGGGCCTGGTGTTGTGCCACATGCTAGAGACAAAAAGAAGATGCAGGTACATACCTTGTGACCTAAATGTCTCCTTCTGATGAGCTTCTGTGCCAACCCCTGACTTTCCAGGAACGTTACCTCTGTGTCTTGTTCCTGCGTGGGAATGAGCTGAGACTTGGAAAGAGAACCTTTGCCCATTTGGTCCAAAAATTAGTGAAAACGTTTAGGTAGAGAATACTAACGTTCTTATGTAACTGACTCATCAATACAAAAGAATATCATTAAGAAAGTAAATGGATGAAGGGAAAGAAACCAACAAAGTGGAATTACAAGAAGTAACTTTGTGGGATCCTGTATGTGGCAAACTGGAAGAAATTGTGGGAGACCAGGATTTGCCTGGGAGTATGACACAGGAAAGCAAAAAGAAAAAGTTCAGTTTAGTGATAATGCTTTCCTAGTGGTTTAGAAGGTCTGACAAGTCCAGGGTGAAGTGTTCAGAGAAGATGACCTCTGAGGCTCAACAAAGTTGAGACAGACCTTTCCAAACGATAATGTGAATCTTGTATCTAGAACTCTGCTTTAATAACACAGCTCAGCTGTGCAGTTCTCTTCTCCAATGAGACACTCAGAGTGATAATCGTCTTGTTCAGTGATTGGGCACCTGTGTATGAATCCACCCAGTTTAGAGAATGTGGTACCTTCCATTCCTGCCATCTGTCAACTGGAACACCCTGTTGCATACAGATTCTATAATAAAGCCCAATGGGCTCCACCTCTTGGTCCACTGGCCTTGGGGAGTCTCCTCCCACTGAGTGTGGGTGGGACCTGGAAAATCCTGTAACCAATAAAATGTGGCAGTGGTGATGTTGGGTCATATAACACCTCTCCAGTTTTCTACTATCTGCTCAAATTACAAGCTTTGCTGAGGCCAGCAGCTGCATTAGAAAGAGCAGAAACTGATGTCAGTCTTCTGTATACATCCAGCAGGACACTGAGGCCCCCAGCCCAACCAACAAGGGAACTCTCAGTCCTCCCCCTAAGGCAGGCTTTGCATTTCTTGAAGACAGACATCCTGTCTGTCTTGAAGACAGACATTTACAACGTGAATGTCAAGTTCTTTGCTCTTCCTGCATCTGGGAGGCCCCATGAGTGAGGAAAGGCAGGATAGGAGGAAGTACCTTGAGGAGAGTGAGGCTAGACTTGGCCTCACCTCTCACCTTGGAGAGCAGGTATCACCAGGAGGTCACTTAGAGAAGACGGGGACAGCAGGGATTAGAAGGACATGAATGGCCACCCCAGTGTCTCTCAGGCCTGCACAGGGCTGTGCTTTTGGGCTGTGAATAGAACAGTGATGAAGAAACTCTGCCCCCACCCGCCATAGCTGGTCTTTCCCCCTCAGCATTGTGGGCAGCCCACCTCACAGCCCAGATGCACACACCGTGGACTCCGTACAGCCCAGCTATGACCGTCTCTCCCACCATCTGCAGCAAACCAAGTCCATCAGCCAATGTAGAACCAACTCTTCTGTCACTTCAAACCCCATGGTCTTACTTATAGGGACTGTGAGAAATGCATACCCTTCACAAGACTCAGTGCTGGAGGAGGAGAAGCTGTCAGAGCCACAGAATGAGGTGACTCTTAATGCAGCAGGTGAACAGTTCCAGGAATGAAAAACAAAACAAAACAAAACAAAACAAACAAAAAACGGTGGGCTCTTGGGCTCAGGAGTCTGATTTGTTAGAATCATCGTTCAGCGAACTGAGTCACTTAACTTCTGAATGATCTTTATTTCCTTGCCTATAAATTGGAATTAATAGCTTTCCCCAATCATGGAACGATTATGAGGTTGAAATGATTTAATTCATGCAAATCCCTTGAACCAGAATCTGGGGAGGAAGAGAGTCCCACCAATGTAGCTCCTGTTTTCTTCCTCCTACATGACAAGTACCAGTTCTCCCTGTCACTCATCAGCCTGAGCCCCTCTCACTTCCTGCAGATGAAGAACTGTTCTGTCACGTATATCCCATGGGGTGGGGGTGGGGCAACCATGAATTGGCCAGTGTGGAGGTACAGTTGAGGAATCCTCAGAGCAATGGGTGCTGTCTCTCTCTCTCTTTCTCTCTCTCTCTCTCTCTCTCCCATATATATGTTCAATTATACACATCTATACAAACCTCCATACACAAATACCCATACACATTTCTATGGGATTGTGAACCCACCCAGACAGACACACATACACATAACACACTCCCTTCACATTTGCCATTTCACCCAGGGAATGGCTCACTCCCACTTCATCATTTTAAAAATTTTAGTATCTTGAGGGAGAAACACCAGAGAATATTTGTCTCACTAGAAAGAATCCCACTCCCTAGGGACTCTAGTACTTTCTGGATCTCAGCATGCCTGCTCCTGGAGCTCTCCTAAGTGAGTGGGAGATGTGACCTTAGATTGAGATTCTGGAATCCAGCGGCAGCCATGTGCACTGCCCCCCTGGTATTGGGACTCTGGGCGTCCAGCAGGTCTTCAGCCTCTCACCTTCTTCTGACTGCTCTCCCACCCTGGTTGTCCCCCACCCCCCACCCCAGGCTTTGCTACACAGAAGGATGTTGCCACATTACCTTCAGAATAAACAGGACACTGAGGTTAGGAAGTTCTAGATCAGAAGGAAGAAACCTGGACCTCTTCCCCACCTGAGTTCTTGTTGTTCTAGAGCACACCTCCAGCAACTCTACTTCCGACCATCAGAACTGCTGCTCAAACAACCCCAATGATGAGAGCTCCAAGGAGAACCTGGTCAGCAGATGCCCTCTCGGTGAGCATAGTGGCTGGGAAAATGGATCTGAGGAGTAAAGGAAAGGTGAGGGGTGTCTCTGTGCCTGGACTCTGCTGCAAGTCTCTAGAAGGGCTCCTGTTTCCCTGATATGTGGCTCCACTCCTCATCCCTCCCAAATCCTGTCTCATGGTGATGGGCTTACGCAGTCCTTCATGTTACACATGGCATGTGAATCTGTGCTCCTCTCAAGAAGACAGCACAATGGCCAAGCACTTCTGGATGGTTCCATCCTCTTCTGCCTGGTCTCCACAAGCTTCTTGTCCTGGGTCTGGTGCTCCCTGGCACACTGTTAGGTCAGGGTGATATGTACGGGGCGGAAGCCCAGAGCACACCATACATCAGGGTGACCTGGCAGTCAGAGAGGGGGTGGTGGGTCACATGTGTTCTGGTAGGGTCTGTGGTAGACAAAACAGGGAGGGCTAAGGCAAAGCCTTCTAAAGCATCTACTACAAACCATGATGACTACTGACCTCTCATCTGTGCCAGGATAGCAGGCAATGATCAGACGACCACAGATGGCAGAGGTCCATGTCCAAACTCAGGTGGTTGTCATTGTCCTAGCCATCCTGCCACCGCCCACCGTCCTGTGTCCTCCTGGAGCCCCAAGTCACAGTGAACTGCAGGGTTGGGGGCCTGCCCAACTCCTCTCCAGGACTAGGCAGTGGCAGTCAGGGCAGAGCATGCCAGCAGAGGCCCTCCAGCTTTTGTCCCTGCACCACCCCACTGGGCTGCTCTGCAGGAAACATTCACCCTTTAGACTATGATCTTGTGATATAATAGAGGCTATATGTTGGTCCTCCAACAGTTCCTGCACACAGCTCGTAAAATGTTTGTCATTTCCTACATGATGAGAATCATAGGAGCATCTCTCTTTAGATGTGTTTCCACTTACTGAGAAAGCTTTACAAAAGATCCTGGTCCATTACTTACACACAGTACCCAACTTCACTGCACAATGTCTCTCTCCTCCTGTGCTGTGAGCCCTTAGAAGGCAGGACTCTCGGTGCCTGTAACCAAACCATTTGGCAAACTGTGGAATTCAAGCTTCTGTATGGATCTCGTGGTAAAATCTGAGCAGCCTCCCTCTTCAGCTTTAGTTGAGCCTCTCGCTGATTTATGCCGTGAATCCACATGCAAATCTCTTCCCTAACTGCTTCATATGCTAAGTTCTCATGACATTTACTAGAAATTATTAAACTATAACCGATGCCCTGAAATCACTCTGTCCACTTTCACCCCACACCTTGCCCAGCCTAACCTCTCCCTGCTTGGAATCCCACCCTTCTCTTACCAGCCCAAATCATACACACACACATCAGGGTCTACACAAAGTTCCACCTCATTCATGAAACTTTTCCTTCTCAGTGGGGTGTCTGGTCTGTCATCTCTGTAACCACTTCTCTGCTTTTCATTTGACATCTAAGGAGGTACCTGTCTTCATTACCTCTCATTATGCCTCACAAGCTCAATAACGCGATCACAGAAGTATGGCTGCTTCCCCATCTTAATTGTAAGCTCTATGAGGTCAAACAGTAGGTCATACTTCCAGGTGCCCAGCCTACAGTGACCTAAAGAAGTGTCCCTGGCCCACTGAGTCGGCTTAGTCAGTTAGCTAATTAATCAATGATACAAAGACCCTGCCCCTCTGACCAGACTGTAGCCGCCTTCACTCTCCAGTGACAGCTTGTGCACACCTGCCTGCCCCGGCTGCCACTAGGGGCATTCCTGACAAGAGGGTCTGGTCCCTGGGGGTTGGGCTGATGTCGTCTGCACGGCGCCTTCTGCTTTCTTCCAGGCACCAACCTGCCTGCTTTCATGGGTGCTCTTTGTTCAGACTGTGCTCCGTGGTATCGCTGCACATTTCTCATATTTACGTGGTTACTCTTCCTCTGGCTTGTGAAGAACTTGGTCTTGTCGTCAAAATGCCTTGGCTCCTCCATCAACCCCTGGACTCAAGACTTTGTCTTCATCTTCTCACTGTCATGGCAGATGAAGGTTTGGTCACCCATGGAGCCCAAGGCACTAAATGCAGGGACTCCTGGAGGTGGCTGATACACAGCTGAGGAGAAATACTGAACACAGTGCATTCCTGAAGCAGGAACCAGTGCGTTCAGACGAAGCTCCAGTACTTACTGAGGACCTAGTTATCCATGTGTGGGGAAGGAGTGTGAGCATGTGTGCGTGTGTGTTGTGTAATAGGAGAGTAGGGCACACAACATAAAAGAATAGGAAGACAATTACACAACACTCTTCCAGACCCCCTCTCCTCACACAAGTGATTGTGATATTCAAATCTCACACCCATCGTGCACTGGTATAATTTAGAGAACTAAAAAGAAACCTTCCTTCACATCCGAAAAGTGCCATGAAGAAGCTGATCTTGAGCAGGGCTTGAAGACGTGGAGGCATCAGGAGGAGTGGGGGACATTTAGAAATGTTCTCATGGCTCAGAGTGACGTGTGAGGAGCCTGGAATCGGACCCTCCCCAGGTCCCCCGTGTAATCTTGTAGCATCTCAACCCCTGCTAGTCCCACCGTTCTCCTGACCACAGTCCCCTGTCACTGTGGAAAAGGCACTGGCCTCAGAGTCAGGGGCTTCCGGCCCTCGCACACCCTCTGTTTCCTGGGGAAACCACTCCCCTCTGTGGCCAAGGCTTCTTTATCTCTAGAACAAAGCCATGAGGCTGGAAGGCCCAGGGCCTCCCAGCTCTGCTATGGGACAATTGTAAGGCCCTGGAAGTCAAAGGTACTGGAGATCGCAAAGGTACTGAACTAAAGTAGTCCCCTTCTTTGCAGGAAATATGTTCCTAGACCCCAAGGGCTGCCTGTGATGGCAGATAGTACCGGACCCTACATGTCCTATGATGTTTCCTGTACGTTCCCACCTATGATCAAGTTTCAATTATGGATTAGGCACAGTAATAAATTAACAACAATAACTACAAAAAAAGAGAAGAATCCTAAGAGTATACTGTAGTCAAATTATGCATAACTGCCCCCAACTAATCTGATGTACTGTGCTCATCCTGCTTCTTGTGATGATGCAAGAGGCCTGCATGAGGAGATAAGGGAGGTGAGTGAGGTCAGCATTGGGATGCAGTGTTAAGCTACTATTGACCTTCAACCTTATGTCAGAAGGAGAATCACGTGCTTCCGGGGTGCACTTGACCTGAGCAATAGATAGCGCAGACAGCCACACCAGGGACAAGGAAGGACAGCTATCGTGACCCTTCTATGTGGCCACATGAGAGTGACGAGAATGTACCAGGAAACTCTGGGACCCAGGGCGCACGATTGTACATCTTCCTAATAATGATGCATCCAAGGAAGATTCTAGCACACAGAACTCATAACGAGGAAGCAGATACTCAGGCAAAATCATTCACATGTTCAGATCACACAGCCTGTAGGCTGTTTATCCAGAACCCAGCTGGGCTCCAGCTGTCCTTTGCTTGTGGAGTCTGCTCTCCCAGCCCACCCTGCTGCCTGTCCAGCCCTCTAGCCTGGTGCCCAGGTGACACATGGGTCCCCAGATGCAGAGCAGACACCACAGCAACAGACCTGGGGAGAGCAGACATCCAGGGAGGGGGCAGGCCCAGACTGTGCCCTCCCTCCCTGAGGGCCCACGTCCATTGGCATTGTCCTGTGACAGAAGTCATACAGATGAGGCACAGGACAAGGATTGAGAGCCATCTCCATGTGACTCTTCAGCAGGGACCAGGCAGGAGCTCAATAATGACATCCCAGTGAGCCCAGGGTGTATCTTTTCATGAGGTCACCATGCTACTGTTCAGGACTCCTTCACAGGGAAAATAGTGCCATTCTTTATCTTCAGTGGACCAAGGATCAGCAGACCCTGTATCCCTGAACTTTACATGCTCCCCCATGGCTTCTCATGACACCTTCACAGAAGTGTGTTTATTACCAGAGCCGTGTTGCACCCATACTGGGCACCCATGAGGAGACAAATGTGACAGACTCCCTGCCATCACATGAGGTGACTCACAAGGAGAGCATGACATCTGTGTTGTCCACGTGTCAGATGTCTCTGCCACACTGGCTGCTAGGAGAAGACTCGGCGGGTGTGTTCCAGGTGCCTCACATCATTGTCCCATCCACAGCCCACAGCCCAGCCCTGCCCAGACTTCCCACCATCTACAGCCCAGTCCTGAAGCTTCGAGTGCACGAGAACCTAGGTGCTTGTTGACAAGGCACCTTCCTGGGTGCATCTACTCACAGAGAATCAGACGCAGCACCTCTGGGACAGAGCTTGTGAATGTGCTCTTAAGCGGTGCCCCAGGTGTTTGGAGACCACACCTTGAGGAACATGGTCCTGGAACCGTGCTTCTGATGTTCCAGCACGTAAGCAAATTCTGTGAAGATCTTGTTAAAAATGCAGATACCGATGCTGTAAGTCTGGTGCTGTTCCTGAAATCCATTCTCCTGGGCATGAAATGTGGACCATAAATGTTAGTCTAAATTCCTTCACCCTCTTTATAAGGGGTTTCACCATGTGATGTGCCCTTCAAACTCAGTGTTCAAAAGTCACATGGCCTGATAATCAACAGTTCCATTCAGAAAAGCTGATGAATCTATGAGCTTCAGTCATTGTCGCCTGTGTGACCTTTGGGCAATCATGTCACCGTAATTGCACCGAGTCTCCATTGCTGGGTGCTGGTAGCAGCTTCCCCTCATTGGTGGATGGCCACAGCACTTTTTTGCATTTGCCACATGTGAACACCCAGCTGTCCCATCAGTGAACCATGCTTCACTAGCAAGTGGCAGATCTGTGGTCAAGTCTCTCAGAGCCCAGAGGTTTGTGTAGAACAGCTGTTGAGCACGTCTTCTGCCCACCAACTATTTGTGCAGTTTGCTGAGGCCTCTGGGTACAAGCTTGGCCCTCAAGAAAATGTGCCATTTCCATGCCCCAG